GTATTAGCAGTAGTAGCGTTAGTATTACTACTATCATTGTTAGTATCATCAGTATTGTTAGTAGTATTGGTTTACAATAGTTAGTATGATTAGTATGAATATTATGAGTAGTACGATGATAGTGATGATGATGATGATGATTATTGTTAGTCCGATTGATACCATGAGGAGTGTCCTTAGTATTAGTAGTATGGCTATGATTAGTATTATTAGCAGCAGTATTGGTAGTATTGGCATTATGATGGGTAGTCTTAGTGTAGCCCTATCATTCGTCTTAGTACCCGTGTCAGTCGTAGTACTACTAATGTTGTCGGGGCATGCTTAACATTAGTATTACCATGATTCGCATTAGGAGTCGTTGAATTATTCGAGGTAGTAGTACTGTTCTGCGTACGTTCTTTATTCGGCGTAGTAGCATTCGTCTTCTTAGTAAAAGCATTCGTAACATTAATACCATGCGTATTATTATGATTGTGCGTCCTATCCTCATCTTAATATTACTAATACCACCATTCGTCTTACTAATACAATGTATGATGCTATTCATTTCGTATTACGACTCATAAAATTGGCCCTGCTCTTCTTAGTGTTAGTGTTATTATTATCCGTGATACGTTGCCCGGGTTCTTCTTATTATCCGTACCATTATTAGTGTTAGTATTATTCCTGCTGCGTTGTTGTTTCGGGGGCCTTCGTAACCGTAGTAGCAGACGTCTTGGTATTCTTATTCGTATCATTAAGATTAATACTGTTCCCCCATTGTTTCCGCATTCGTATTCTCATGGTTATTATCAGCATTGTCATTATTACCGCGCGGCGTCTGACCATCGCACCGCGCGGGTGACCTGAAATCCTGCCGGCCACCGCCAAGGGATCACATGTGCTCTACCTACCAGACCACCCCAACCCAACCCGAAGACCCGAATTTCGGGTTGGGGGGGGGGGGTATGGGCTCCATATGTGTTTTTTCGATGTTCCTGGACCCCCCCCCACTAGAAATCGAGGGTAAATCTGACCCTTCGGCGCGTACCGACCGCGTCCTTCGGGCGTCGTCGGCCTGCGCGACGGCGACGTCGCGACCCACGGCGAAGCGCCCCTGGACGGGGAGGGGACGCCCGCTGGCCTGGAGAGAGCGGCGCCCTACCAGTCCGCGGTTGAGTTCGCAGCGGGCGAGGGGGGAGACGACGCCGACGTCGAGGAGCCCCCCCCCCCTCCCCGTGCCAGCGATGCCGCTGCCAGCGGCACCTCCCCCGCCGCCGCGGGCCCATCTTGGCGCCGCGCCGAAGCCCATGGCGACTTCCCGATTCAGGAGCAACACGATCGCCACGCGCGCGCGCACGCGCGGCGGGCCACCCGACGCCCCGCCGGCCACCGCCAGGGGGCCACGCGGGTTTCCAAGCCAGCACGGCGACACTCCCACCGTGGAAAACAATACTTTTCAATAAATAATATAAATATATATATATATATATATATATATATAGATTATCTTTTAAAACAAAAAAAGGCCCACTCGAGCATAAAATTCCTGCGCGGATCACGTCTGAAGCCGCGCACCAGAACCCGCCTTCGCTTCAACGCCCCATCGGCCACCGCACCCCGGCGCGGCGCTTGCGAGGCACAGGGCCCCCTTCGAGCAGAGAGCCAGGCGCGCCCCGGCAAAGCCCCTCGCGCCGCGCCCTGTTTCACGGGCGGGCGCCCCGCCTGCCGCGACGCCGCCCGCCTCCCAGCCCATTGGCGGGGGCGGGGGAGCAATCGACCACAAACGCGCACCCCGGCGACCTGATCGCGCCCGCGACGCAGAACAGGCTCGCCGGCCACAACTCCGCGGATGCATATCGCACGGCCCGCGCTCGCAGTCTGCTCCGCTCGACCGCGCTGGCCGCAGTGTCGCGGAAACTGCACGCGCGCGCCCGCCGCAATTCTTGGCGCCGCGGTCAGGGAGGGACGCGCCCTGAACCCCGCGGTCGCCCTCAGGACGGCGAACAACGCAGTGCGGGCGGCGGGGCAGTTGCCCCTCTACGCGAGCGGCCGCTAGGGCCACCGACCACGATGGGAATGCCACCGCCGCCGCCGCCCCCCGCTGCGCGCTGGAATTGTCTGCCCCCCATGGCCGGCGCGGCACGGCCAGGGGGCGCTTCTGCAACGATCGTCGCAACGCATCCACGCGCCAGGCGCCCCGCCCCCCGCCCCGCCCCCCGCCGAGCCCGCCCCGCGCCTCCTCGGCCCCCTCGACGCGGCCCCGAGATGACCTCCGAGGCAGCCGCGATGGCCTCCGAGATGGCTAGGGCGGCATCAAGAGAATCCAAGATGGCATCGACATGGTCTTCGAGCGCGTCGGACACGCCACGAACGCTCCACGGCTGCTCAATGCCCCCCCCCGGGCGGGCCCGAAAGGCCACCGAAGGGCCCGGGGGAAAAGTGCACCCGGGAAGGCCCCACGAGGCCCGCAAGAAGCCCTTGGGATGCCCCGAGCGGGCCCGCCCCCCCGCCCCATTGCACCCACTTCCCCCCCCCCTCTCCCTCTCCCCGCCCAGGTGCCCCCAAAAGACATGCAAACGGACGGTGGTTGGGGGACCGCGCCGTCCGGTCGCTCGGCCAGAGTCGGCTCTGACATTCTGCCAGGTAGCCGCTTCCGATGAGGCGGGAGCGGCCACGTCCTCTCGCGACTGGCGGCTCGCCGCGCCCCCCCCCTCGCAACCCGCGCTTTTTCCACCCGTGGGTCGGGCAGTGGCCGCGGCGCCCCGGGGCGCGCCCCGCCCGGGCCGCGACGCTGGCACTCGCGGCGGGCCGCTGCTTGAACTCTGCGCAAGACTGCGTCAGACGCGGCAGAACGGAACGCTGCCGCATGCTCAATTCAGGGGGACGTAAGACCCGGGTACGGGGGACTCGGAAATCCCCGACGAGGTCGTCAAAAAAATGACGAGGCCGAGCCTGCATTTTGACGAGGCCTCCCGCTGCAGACATCCCATGAAACTCCTACTCGTCAAAATCCGAGTCGCGGTCGTCAAAAAAAAAATGGCGAATCCGAGTCCTGGCAAACCCGGGTCTTACGCTCCCCCGATCAATCTCGCCATCATGTTTTCGCGCCACGGCGCAGCGAAACCCTTGCCCAGACCGAGAGCGCCGCCGTAGAGATGCGTCCACGGGACCGCCGACAGCCGGGCGGCTTGCCCGGCGAGCTTGCTCTGCGTCGGCAGCGCGATCAGCAAGTCGCCCCTGCGGGACACGCACTTGCTGCGGTCTAACTCCCATTGCTCGCGCCCTCTCCTCACCCGCGGGCCCGAGGGCGGCCAGGGTCGCGACGCGCGCAATAGCCACTCGCGAAACAGCGCGCGGCACGCAGGGCTTGGTTTGATGGCGAACCCCGCGCTGAACGACCGGCGGCCCCCCGTCGGGTAAAGGTCGCCACATGCACAATCCCAGGGGCGCGCCTGGCCCTTCTGCTCGAAGGACTCTCTGCGCCTCGTAAATATCGCGCCTGCCGATCAAAAACATTGGATGATTGACGAAAGAAAGGCTGGGGAACGCGATTTCCGCATACAGGGAGCAATCCCAGCGGGCGAAGCACGCACCGAAACAACAGCAGAGGCGCAAGTTCGGCGACGCATAGGAAACATCACACGAAACTGGCGCTAATATGAGGATCAGGCAATCGGACACCGTTTTCAGCCCCGACTGCGAGCCCGACACCGCTCGGTCGCACGTGGCCTCGTGGTCGTCGTCGATAGCGCCCCCGCCCTGCCATTCGGGTTCTTCGAAGCCTGCCCCGTTTGGGCCAAAAAAAGAAATCGGAGGAGGAGCGGCAAGCAGGGAAGAGGCGGCCCCGACGTCCGGCATCCCATCGAAAATCGTTGCGCTGCACAGACTCAATGAGATCATCCGCGAACCCTGACCGCTCGCCCATTTCTCTTTGAGCTCGTTCGAACCATCAAATCAGGGCTTACTTCTGCTTGTTGTGACTGGCCGCGCGTCGCACGTGACAGTGATATCCAGATATCGGTGGCCCTGCCTCGTGAAGATGCCGCGCGCTTCGCGTGAACACGTCAACACAACCATCCTGCTCTCCTAGGAGCATCGCGCCGGGCGAAAGGGGGGGACAGCAAAGGGGGGGGGGGTGAGGATCAGCCCACGTAGCTGATCTTCCTGGCGCCGCCGCCCATGCATCGAGGAACGGGCCCCTCGGTGGGGCCGAAGCCAACTGCATGCAGCAGATTTCGTAACCCCCTCTTTCCCAATCCCCCCCTTTCGTCCGGCCCGAGAGCAGCGGCCCGCCCACGGCGCGCGCGCAGTCTGAGCCACGCGGGGACGCTGCGAGAAAAACGCCGACGTGCGACCCGGAGACGAGCGGCGACCGCCGAGGGAGTCCGAGACCTGCCAAGCGGGAGCACGGGGGGGCTCCAGGGAGGGGGCCCTGGGACACACGAACAAGTACACACAAATAGCAGGATCCCCCATATTTTCCCATTTGGGTATATGTTTTTGTTTCCCCCTCCACACTTCCCATAGTTTCCCATATTTTCCTGGGGATCGACGATTAACTGTGTCTGTGTGTTGCTTCCCCTCCTGATCCAGGGGTTTGTCCAGGGGACTGTTTCCCAAGGGTCGGGAGGGAGACACAATGGAAGAAGACTACGCGAGATCCTCCCCGGAAGATTATTCAAAGACGACGGGGAAGGACCCCACGGAAGCACGGGCGGGTGGACCTCTCGAGGGTTGAATTTTGACGTTCAACTTGTGTGAACAAACACGTTTTAATTTCTGCCGCCACGGCCAGACCCGCACCTCTGGCGGATTTCCCAAAATCGAGGCATCGAAAATCAATGTATCCAGGGGGGTCGGCCGTGCTGATGTTCGACCTCGAGACGCCTTTCCACAACCCCCAAGAAACAAGCCGACCTAGGCATCTGGCAACAGGTGGGGCCACTGGAATTACGAGGCGACGCCAAAAATCAAAAGAAGGTCGAACAACAAACCCCGAGTCCTGACCGATAAAATTTGCGAGCTGCGTTCCGTCGAGGTTGCGGGGGGGGGGTCGGAAACCTCAAGCCTTCAATTACCCAAGGTCGAGATTCGATGGTGGTGGTATGTCTCCATGAGAGGAGAAAGCCGACTAGCGAAAGTTGATTCGATAGCGTCGCTAAGAACGCATAGATGCTACAACTGAAATGCCGCTGTGCTGGCGTTGTCTGGTACTTTTCGAGCATACCTCAATCGCGACATGATCGATATCCCCTGTCTGTACTCGCGCGGACATACGAAACCAAGCAAAGCACATCTGACATCACGCCAACATGCGCGCTTTTAGCAACATCCTAACGGATACCCGGTTACGGGAGATCACGGGATAACGTCGCTACGAAAGCTTGGATGCCATTGGCAATCTAAAATCGGTCAGTGTTCAAACACTGACAACAGCAGCAAGCCTTCACAAGCCTCGGCGCTGTTTATGGTGTGCCACGGGTTGTCAAGAGTTATCAAGGCTGGATCAAGAGAACTAGAGAAAAACAAAAACACCACGAACCATGAGACGCAGAAGGCATGACGCAAAGGGACGTGTCGAACAAGCGTCGTGGACAATTCGTGACTCACGTGGGTCTGGGTCTGCTGGATTGGCGGCGGACTGCCGTCAGCGAGCGGACGTCGACGGAGAAGGGGCCCGGCAAGTGCGCTCGCCGATCACCTTCCAGGAGATGCGCGCTGGAATGCTAGCAGCCCGTTGCTCGTCGACCTCTCGCTTGCCGCCCGGCAGGAGGCCAGTGGCAAGCGTGAGCAAACCTTTGACCGCACGACACCGACTCCCAAAAATGCGGGGGACGGTGGCGCGCCCGGCGCAAACCCTGGTCAAGCGAAGAAACGGTTTGGGCTGCAGCAAGCTGATCACACAATAGACGCAACATCTCTTTCCCCAAAGGATGAGGACGAGAGTGATGAGGAGAAGGCGGCGGCGGAGGAGAGGACGAGAACGAGGCGGACGAATACGAAGGAAGGACGAGGAGATGGAGCGTCCTAACACCCACAAGCACCAACCGTTCCCGCCTCCAGCGGGAGACAGGTCCCGCCTCCGCCCATCACTGCTTCTCTCCCATCCACCAAGGCAGCGCCGCCTCTGGCGGTTCCAATCCTGACCCGTGCACCGAGATTAGCTCCTGTCCCGCTCATCTTCATCATCCTCTTCATCACTTTCATCACCATATTAATATCATCATCCGAACCACCAAAACATTAATCCTCATACCACACTTGCTCAACACAGTCACCCTCGCAGCCGTCATCAAGACCATCATCGCATCATCTCCATCATCATCGTCCTCAGCCCAGTCACCATCACCATCACAAGAACCATCGTCATTGTCGTCCTCGTCATCATCGACATCGTCGTCTTCGTCATCATCATCATCATCATCATCATCATCATCATCATCATCATCATCATCATCATCATCATCATCATCATCATCATCATAGTCATCATCATCATCATCATCATCATCATCATCATCATCATCATCATCATCATCATCATCATCATCATCATCATCATCATTTTCATCATCGTCATCATCATCATCATCATCACCATCACCATCATCATCATCATCATCATCATCAGCATCATCATCATCAGCATCATCATCATCATCGCCAGCATCAGCATCAGCAGCATCAGCATCAGCATCAGCATCAGCATCATCATCATCACCATCAGCAGCATCAGCAGCATCATCATCATCACATCCACCTCCCAGCGTCCCCAATCAACCCCGTCCCCAGGCGGGACCCGACCCCCAGCCCCCCGAAAGGGCGCCTTCAGGTACAGCGTCTGCGCGCCCATGAACTGCACGTGCGGCGCGGAGTCCCGCAGCAGCTCCTCCCGGGCGGTCCCGTCCTCCTCCGACGGAAACAGCAGTGACGGCGACGACGACGGCGACGACGACAGCGACGAAGACAATGGCGACGACGATGATGGCGACGACGTTGTCCTTCCCCTCTTCTTCTTTTTCATCCTCATCATCAACATCATCATCAGCATCATCATCATCAGCAGCATCATCATCATCAGCATAATCATCACAATCGTCTTCGGCACCGTCAGCGTCATCAGCGTCGTCAGCATCATCAGCATGGTCAGCATCAACATCGCCATCATCACCATCATCACCGCAATAATCAGCATCATCAGCAGCAGAAGCAACAACAAGATCGTCATCATCATAATCAGCAGCATTATCATCAACATCATCGTCGTCCCCATCGCCAACATCCACATCATCACAAGAACCAGACTCATCCACAGCATCGTCAGCGACATAAATATCAGCATCCTGGTCATGGGCGTCATCTTCATCACCACCATCACCATGATCAGAATACGCATCAGCAATCATCATCGATACCCTCGTCATCATCAGCACCATCAGTGGTTGCATCATCATGCTCATCAGCAGGATCATAATCATCATTACCAGCATCATCAACAACACCATCATCATCAGCATCATCAGCATCATCAGCATCATCCTCATCATCACCATCATCATCATAATCAGCATCATCTCATCATTACCGTGGCCACCAGCATCATCACAATCATCACATCCATGATCATCCTAATCATCGTGATCAACACAACCACCAACATCCTCAACATCACCACCAGCAGCACCACCATCACCATTATCAACGACCCTCCCTCATTGCACTCCTCGTTGCCTCTCCTCCTCTCCATCCTCCCTTTCTTCACTACGTATGCCTACCTCGTCCTCTTCTCTTCTCCACCTCCTCTTTCCTTCGCCTGCCCCCTCCTACAAATCTGTTGTTCGGCCCAAAATATCCTGCATTTCCTCTTGCGCCCCTGCACCTTCTTGATCATCCTCCTCGTCGTGATCCGCATGATCATGCACCAACACATTGATCCTCATCACCACCATCATCGTCATCAACCTCATCATCATCATCATCATCATCATCATCATCACCACCATCATCATCATCATCATCCTCATCATCATCATCATCATCATCATCATCATCATCATCAGCATCAGCATCATCATCATCATCATCATCATCGTCATCATCATCAGCATCATCATCATCATCATAATCATCATCATAATCAGAATCATTATCATAATCATGTTAGTATTTGCCTTATTCATCTTCATCATAAACATTAGTTTGAAGATCAGCACAGGCATCAGCATCACAATGATCAATAACACCATCATCATCAACACCACAATCCTGATCGTCATCATCATCATCATCATCATCATCATCATCGTCATCATCATCATCATCATCATCATCATCATCATGATCAACATCATCGCCGTCGCCGCATCATCATCAGCAGCAGCAGCCTCATCAGAATCATCATCATAATCATCATTACCATCACCACCATCACCACAGTCATCATCACCATCATCATCACCATCATCCTCATCATCAACACCAACGTCATCATCAACATCATCATCATCATCATCATCATCGTCATCATCAGCATCATCATCATCATCCTCATCAACGTCAACTGCATCATCGACATCATCATCTCTGAACCCTCCTCCACCAATACTCTCACCGCCTCCTCCTCCTCCTCCCACCAAATTCCTCCGAAAATCACGCCTATTCCATCTCCTTCCCACCCAACTCCTCTTCAAGCTCCAATCCCTCCTCCCTCGTCTGACCCCTAATCCAACTCCCTTCTTCTCCCAGCACCTCCTCCCTGGTAATGTCCATATTCCCCAGTATACCCCCCAGAACAAATGAAAAATCACTGCCCCCGCCTCCCTCTCTCTCTCTCTCTTCCCTCCCTCCCATCCCTTCCGACCTCCCTCCTCCCTGCCACGTGCTGCCTCCATCTGGCGTGACGAAGAGTGGCAGCGCGCAAACGGGGGTAGGGGTAGGGGGGAAGGCTTCTTAGAGGCACCCTGCGTCTTACAAGGCCCCGGCCCTTACACCAATAGAGAAGGCCAGCGCCTTCTAAGAAGCAGGGGTGCTTCCAAGAAGGAGTCTTCCCCCCTCCCCTCCCTCCTCTGCACGTGACTGAGAAGACAGGGCAAGGATAAATCTGGATGAGGACAAGTCGAGGATCTTTGAGATCCGGCGGGTCTGGAGGACGTGGCGGGCGCCAGGGCCGTTTCCGACAGCTCAGGAACACTCTCGGAGCGTCCCAGAACGCTCGGGGACAATTTTATCCTCGTCCTGGGCCTGCCTGACCTGGTTCCGTCCTCCCTGCGCTCACCAGGCCCCCCTTCCCCCTCACCTTTCGGGCGCGCGCGAGTCCGGCCTACGGATCCGTTGATCCGGCGCGCGGGCGCCAGATCCACGGGCCGGGGAGAGCACCTCCCGAAGCACGAGGCCAACGCCGCCCGATCTAGCGAGGGAGAGCGCAGACGTCGTACGGAAACGGAAGCAAGTCGCCAATCCACGCGCGGTGCTTCCCCCTTCCGAAACGTCCTTCCTCCCCCCTTCCGAAACGTCCTTCCCCCTTCCGCCTCCCCTTCCGAAACGTCCTTCCCCCTTCCGAAACGTCCTTCCCCCTTCCGAGACGTCCTTCCTTCCCCCTTCCGAACGAGCTCTCACCCGCTTCCCCCTTCCGAAACGTCCTTCCTCCCCCCCCCCCATCCATGGGGCGCGCGAGCGCGCCTCGGAGACGCCCCAGGCCACGGGGTCCTCCTGCCGGGGGCGTTCAAGGGAAGGCGCGCCCAGCACGGAGGGCACGCGCACGAGGGCGAGCTCGAGGAGAAGCTGGGAGAGGACTCCTCCTCCTCCTCCACCACATCATCATCATCATCATCATCATCATCATCATCAGCATCATCATCATCATCATCATCATCATCATCATCATCATCATCATCATCATCATCATCATCATCATCATCATCATCATCATCATCATCATCATCTCTCATCATCACCATCATCATCATCCTCATCCTCATCCTCATCCTCATCCTCATCCTCATCCTCATCCTCATCCTCA